CACGGTAGAAACACCAGGAAAGGCACAACTCGTTCAGTTAAAGAGAGTGGGTGTTGTATGAAGAGAGATGGTAAACATGTTCTCATGTCGGACACCTTACATGCTGCGTGTACTCGATATATGTTTATCTCATGTTGGTTTGTCGTCTATGTCTGTATATCTATGCCCAGGACAAAGGATGGGATGCTAAAGCATATGCACTTAGTTATTTACAAATTTGGGGTCAGAGATGAATCTGTTTGGACAGAAATGTTTGAAGCTTTTATGGTGTCTCACATTGCAAGCGCCATGCTGTCACTGACTCCATTGATTTCAGCCTGTCAGTGGACTGAAATTAAACATATAGTAAACCCGAGGGGCTTAGAGAGCTATTATTCTTGAGGGAAGGAAATATTCGTATATGTACATAGAATGCGGATATGGTTACTAAAATTTATATTCGACATGATATGATTATGGATTTGGACGTATAGTGAAATAGTGAAATATTTGTATCCATATCTGAATATATGTCGGTCGCACACTTGTAATAGTTTTAATCATCAGGTTAATGGATTTGAGGTTAATTTGATGATTAAGAGATCTAATCTTCGCTCTTTCAGATATAATGAAGATATTAATGTACTCTCTTGTGTCATATGAATTATATATATTTTAAATATTATCTAGTTTTTTTTCATATCTGTTTTTTAACTACATGTATACATGCATCAATTTTTGCACATAGAGGTGGATTTTCCTTACTGAGACATATCTGTATCCGTATTGTGATTGACGAGTGGACATGAATATAATAATTGATGAGTATTATATGCAAGATTTGCACCTCTCTTCGAATGTGGTTAAAATGAGATTGGCTTCAGTAGGCCTTTTCGTATATTCCCGAAAATGAAAAATACTTTCATGTAACACTTGATCACTTCCAAGGGTATAAATCTTAGCGCTTCGGATGGGCTGGGTTGATACGTATTTGGGTCTTGCTGATGTGTTTGTTATTTTCTATGTTTTTTCTTTTAATTCCTAGTAAGTAGGGAGTTGTTAGTGACTTTTTCTTTTATGCTCTTTACCAGGTTTCAGTTAATTTACCATGTTTTAGTTAGTGTAGAACGTGGGCTGAAATTCTGCTTTGTAAGGCTATAATAGCCGAAACGGTCTCTCAATGAAAGTTAGAGTCATTCTCCCAAGTTGTTAAAATCATTCGATTCTTTGATTCTTAACATTTGGTATCAGAGCCACTACTGGGCTTGAAGAAAACGAAGTGCAGTATTCGTGGTAGGCAGCAGCAAAAGAGAGATGACAACATAAGGAAGTTTTGTGCAACCAGCTATTCCTCGTTTCGATGGTCATTATGATCATTGGAGCATGTTGATGGAGAACATTTTGAGGTCCAAGGAATATTG